ATTTTCTTGAAAAGTCCGTTTTGAAAATGGTCTTGACAGTAAATCCGCCACTAAATAATAAAATAGCTATTACACTAACTAACACAACTATATTTCGGTTTGTTTGCTAGCTTTGCCCTGATTGGATATCTGACTATCCAATCAGCGGGTGTGGGTACGGTAGCATTTCCGGGGCCTTCGCGCAGGCCCTGGCATGACCAACCTAACATCTGATTGGTTGAAGCAACAGTGTACTCGACATGTATTTTCTGTGGGGGGGGGGCTGCAGAACGGATTGTGAAGGCCTCCAGGCAGACATCTTTGACTTTGACCCTGCCTAGCGACAAAGGATGTCTGAAATGTGATTGGTTAAATGCTTTTATATGAAAATACATGTCTGGAAGCAGCGCAACCAGGGGAGAAGCTATGAAAGGAAGCTGACAGACTATTTAGAGATATTTAATACCTTTTTTATGGACAAAATATCATTAACATCAATCTGTGATTCAGATATTTTCTTAGGCCTTCAGAGAAGGCCTTACAGGCCCTGACGGCCCACCACTGCTTAACAAGTTTCACTTCAGGAATGAATAAAGTAATCCATCTATTTACAAAGAGACATTTAAAATCGTGCTTAAAGCCAGTAAAGCCAACCAGTAAAGCTTCTGAGCTTCAGTAAAGCGGAAGGTTTTATGTACAACTTGCCTCCAATTTGTGGACGTACGGTGGTGGTTGGCCTACCGTTTTTTCTCGCTTTTCGCTTCTAACCTGTAAGTCACCTGACTGGACACGCCCTTTCATGTCTCCTATTGGACGAAGAGTCCGATAGATGGCCTCCTATTGGATGAAGAAGCTAGTGGGGCGGAACTTACAGTCTGAGCTGCGGGCACCTGAGCGGAGATTTATTTTGGGACCGTAACATTTCTGGGACCACATACCGGAGACGTAGCTGTGAGGAGGATCATAAGACATTTATTCTGTCCCATCAGAGTGTGTCTGCTGTTAGGAGGAAGGAGAAACCTGAAGGTAAAGAGCTGCTGTCGGTAGAATTGTGTTGTTGGGGAGCTGCTACTGCTTTTGCTGTGAGACTTCAACAGAGTTTTACTGGAACAGGTTTTGGGTCCGAACAGGAACCAGAAGGACCACCAGCAGGGAAATCTGAACTCATTCTCACAACTTAGATGGCAGAAAGTATCAAATATTGAAAAAAGGAAAGCCTGCACGAATGATTATTAGATTTGTGAGTGTTTAAAACTGACAAAATGCTCTGGTTATTCTTAGCCATGTGGTGCCACCACTTTCTGTTGTCGGTTTCACACGGCTCAGCTCCGCGCACACAAGCGACCAATCACGGACAGGCTCTCTTCAACCAATAGGAGGCCTCGTAAGTAAAACCTTCAGCTCCATGAAAAGCGTAATAGAAATAGCTTTACTGGCTTTAAGCACGATTTTTAGCCACTTTCCAAAAACTGTTAGATTTTGTGGACTCTAACATTTAACAGTAACATTTATTTATGATAATCTGTCTGAACATAAAATTACATTACAACATTATATATGTTCAATATTATTATGTGTTT